GTGCGTGTGTGTGTGTGTTTGTACGTGTGTGTGTGTGCGTGTGTGTGTGTGTTTGTACGTGTGTGTGCATAATGCATATTGTAAAGTGTGGTTTCGATCTTGTCACTGACGAAAGACGCCATTACTTTTGCCGTTGTGTCGAAAACTACAAACGTAAAACTTTTGCTCCAGAAAAAGTACTACGCAATATTTACTCTATAATTCTCCACGGAACACCCCCATCGACATCCGAATACGTATAACAACCATACCCTTCACTTTTATCCCACGTTATTGTAGTTGAAAGAACTTCAGCGTCCCAAAGAGAATTGTGGCAGCTTTGTAAAAAAATACATGTACTATTAGGGGGTGGTATTTCCCTTGCATGAGAACAGAAAGTCTCAACTCATTTCATAAAGACGCGCAATCATGTTTCTACAAGTGAGCTAAACAGCGAAATTAATCTTTTCTTGCACTCTTGTGAAATAAAGAAGTTTTTGCAGTCTGTGTTATTTGAGCTGTACGAAAGGAACTGACATAACATGACGAGGATGCAAATGATGTACATTTTCCGCAAGACACTTTTTTAAAATCATTTTACATAATATAAACGAATAATATGCTTTGCTCGAGGTAAGCTGTCACAACCACTTTTGCCGTCGTTCAGTCTTGGGTTAATTCAATTCCAGATCAGACATCCACAAGTTATAGTGACATAGGTCACTAAAGCTGTGCCAAACTGGTCTGAATCCAAGAAGATCGTCTAATTTATCATGAGAACAAGAAAGTCGAAAGGTCAAGAGACAGTCCTAGGGGTAAAGGAGGAGGGGCGGGAAGGGAAGTGAGTTTGTGGAAGAGGGAGGGGGAGGTGGGGGGAGGGGGTTCTAGGTGAAATACCACAGCCTCCCGATAAGCTACTCAACCACACTGGGTTATACAGGCGGGGGATGTAGACTGGAGCTCGTTAGCCTGGGACAGCAACGTCTGAGAGAAAGAAAACTCGGATTTTGAACGTCTCCCTGTCTTGCGGGCAAATCTAATCAAGCTTCATCAAATTCCGTAAACCTTTACTGAACGCCCGGGGCGGCTCTCCACGCGGTTGTTCCAAGTTATTTACAGCCTCTATCAGGAAGCTCTCGAATAGAGAGACCTCGTTAGTTTTGGATGGCGGTTCATGGGGGAGAAGGGAACTGCGATTCAAAAGCCACGTAAACTGGCAGGTGGTTGCACGGCCAAGACAAGCATATTATTGAAATTTATCTAAAGGCTATCAATTAAATGAGAGGAAGGTAGAGGAGAGAGAAATGCGCAAATTATTTGGTTCCTCAAAAATTATTCAAGAAATACAATAAATGATATGTAGCTCAATAATGATTACATTACAGAGCGACTCATAATTTTCCTTAATAAAACAAAAAATTCAATTCCTTTAAAATTTGTCTCTTTATGTATTGCTCTCTCTCTCTCTCTCTCTCTCTCTCTC